TTTGTTATAGTACCTTCTTTTCTTGGTAGAAGTATAGTGATAACGGAAAGCGTCCTGTTGCTTCTGAACTTGGAGCTCCCCCAATGATAGATTACTGGCAGTGTGGGGACCATACAGGTCCGTGGGGTATGTCTCACACACTGGAAAACACACACACACACCACACACACACACACAACACACACACACACACACACACACACACCCACACCACACACACACACACACACACACAACACCACACACACACACACACACACACACACACAACACACACACACGTTCGTCGACGTCGTCACACACACACACACACACACACACACACACACACACACACACACACACACACACACACACACACACACACACACACGAGTATTAGTCTGAACGGTGAAGCTATTAGCCCATAGTTTAAAACAGCAAATCATTAAACCTTAAAAACTATTATTTGTGTCATAATGTATCCCACTCTGCCTATCATCCCAAAAAATTAGAGCCCAATTTTATTTAATATTCGGTTTTTTTATACAAATTTTACGATATATATTTATCATTTATTTTTTCATATTGTTACTATAATTTTTTTTATGATGTGTATGTTTTTCTATTAACTGTATTGAGTTCAATTTAAGTGATGTTATGTTAGTTGATATCCTTTGTTTTTAATTATTTTATTTTAGCATTGTTACCATGCACCTTTTTATGTTGTTGTTGTTGTTTATGTTTTTGTGTGTCATTCATTGTGAACAAATTAGCAAACAGTATTTTTTTTTTTCATATTGAAGCTCTGCATGTCCACCAACTAGGGTTTGCACTAACAGTGGAGCTCTAGCGCCCTCTTCTGGACAAACTAAGTACTAATGCGATAATTGTTTTTTTTTTAAATATACTAACGGGTGGGAATGTCTAAACTACAACTGTCTATAATAATAGCGTCACTTTCATGCCACAATTATTTGACATCAACGAACGCACTGCCAGCTTATTTGTCTTTGTAGCAGGTGGTGTTTATGGTGCAGAGAGATGGTGCCAAGGTCAACAACTGTCAGCAACTTCAGGTTTAACTGGGCCGAGTGCTTCTCTTTCTGTGCATGGACAATAAAGTTACCAAACCTGTTAACTTATGCTGTTCGGCAACGAGAACGTTGTATTTCCTATATAAACGGATGGCAAACTGCAGGTTTAACTATAATTGTGAGACACAAAAGAGACACCATGAAACTGTACACCTTGTGCTTCTTCCTCTACCTCTCAGCACACAAAAGAAGCAGCATCAGATGTAACAGAAAAGCACGAGAAAATGCCAAAAGATCCACATCTTGGACACTTGAGCTGAAGAACTGACAAACCAACTATTTACCTTGTAGTCTCTGTTGACGTTTGTGAGCTGCCATTGGTCGCAGGGGACGCCCATCCTCTCAAATTCCGCCCCCAGGTCGATGAGCTGCCATCCTTCCTCCCTCTGTTGGTCGTTCTGTTTGGGGTTGTAGGAAAAGGCATAGAGCTCCTCGTAGGATACTGCACAAAGGAGAAGGAAACCAGAGAAAGAGAATTAACGAATAGACAAATATGGAGGGATAAAAAAAGATCTTAGACAGACAAACTGAAACCCACCAGGCCGTAGAAGACGCAGCAGCGAGCTGTAAATGTCGTGGCAGTCTCTTTCTCTCTGCACCACAAAATGAACCAGCCTGAAGTTGCGACACTGGATGACCAGAGGACAGCCGGTGGTGGTCAGGGAGAGCTTCTCCACAGACGCTATGTGGTGATGCAAGATCTGCAAAGAGAGAGAAAAAATAAAGAGATCTTCAGTGATTGGCTTTAGATCATGATTTGATATCATAATGATAATAAGGAATACAGAAAGACATTATTAAACAATTAGAGTGAGAGTACACTGCTTGTAGTCTTGTCATTATGGGAATCAAAAAACATTGATACTGATAGACAGGCAAGGATTTTAAGAACTGGTATTTTGAACAAAATCCAAAATCTTGCTACACATTAACACAAGATCATAAATTGGAGTATTGCCATAAAGTACAGAGGGCAATAAGGACAAAGAAAGTACATCTCCATATTCAATGAGGCTAGTTTGAATTCCACAGGGAATCCAGCGATGGGAGATCATTAAGATGCACATTCATCAGCATCAGTAATGACCAATCACACACACACACACACACACACACACACACACACACACACACACACACACACACACACACACACACACACACACACACACACACACACACACACACACACCTCACCAGCTGTTGAGAGAGACAGTTACTCAACTGCCGTTTAATATTTTACAAGGCACAATAACAGTCTAACAAACACTCTCTTTGACCAACACATTCACTCTAAACGTCATCCACAAACACCGGCATTAGTTAGCTGGCACATGCTAACAGGCACCTTCACGCAGGGATAAATACGCAGAAAAATAACGGCATGCAAGCCAAAAAACAGAGCAAATGAAAACATTCTCACATAAAGCAGGAAGGATGGTGGGGGAGTGGGGTCGTGGCCCGAGATCTGCTGCTCAAAGCATTTTAAAACTTGCTAACCTTTCCACAATGCAGACCAGTACATCTGTTTATCCCAATACCCTGAGACTATTTTCCCTCCGTCATATGACAGGATACAACAAAGTATTTCTTCACTGCACACCACAACAGCGCAACTGTTTACCACTGTAACATCCAAATCAAATAATCTGGATGGCCTACTAAGTGTTGCAGACACTAATGTAACCCAGTTCTCAAGGTGAGCATCAGTAAGCCTCTTATGGATGGAGGCAGACACACAAACACTTCACATTAACACACAGAAGCCTAGTCATAAATCTTGCAACTGTAAGCTACTTTTGAAACCCTACCCTACTTCCTCTTACCACACACAAGTTTGCATATTCTCTCTATTGGCCCACCACATCACGTTGCAGACTTCCTTGTGGTGGCCGTGCTGATGTCTCTTTTTAAAATCAGCTCTAAATTCAAGACTAATAATGGGACGAAAAAAGCAGCGAGGATATTATGAGAAGCTACTGGCAACATTACACTGCATATATCATATCTTTAAAAAACACACATGGTTAGCCTAACTGAAAGAAGATAGTGAAAAAAAGGTAGCTGGGAATGACATTTGCATAACTAGCAGAATGCAATCACTGCCAAAACTACTCACCCAGATCTCCTGTCCGGCAGATGTCGAGTTGTTGGAGCTGCTCTCAACAAAGATGAGATGTGTGGCTGTGAGGTACAGTGTACCACTTGTAAATTTGTTGCTGAAGCGATCCAACAGTCGCACCTGCTCCACCTGCAAACACACACGCAAATAACAACATTAATCAGCAGGTCAAGGTTCTTTTAAATGTCTCGAACTTGGTGTTAGGATGTACTGAAAGGAAGAAAAAAAGCTCCAGCTAGCCACCAGCTAATCCTGTGTCGCAAATGGTTTCTGGATATGGCAAAAGTCAGATTTTGCTGAACACTGTGACAGATGTGATGTCACAATGAGCATGAATATGGTTAGTGAATAGTTCTTAAATAAGTATTTTAGCTACTGCAAGGAGATCAAGTCTATTACTTTCTATAGTTACCCTTTTCCCAGTAGTAATTACCTTTACTAAGAAGGTTATGTTTTTGGTTTGTTGGCCAGCGGGATTATACTGTTAAGGAAATTAACTGAAAAACCCCAAAAAAAAAATTATTTAAAAAAAATAAAAAGTAATAATAATAATAAAAAAATAATCGTTTTATTTCGATTACGTTGTTTTCGCAATCGTTGCAAGCCATAATCGTAATAGCGATTAAAATACGATTAATTGAGCAGCCCTAATACAGTATCAGAGGGGGTATCAGCTGGCCTCCCAGAATGTTGTTGTAATGTAAATCTGCTTTGTGATGTCCTCTTATAAAGAGAGCCTGTTTCACTGAGAACAGTACGTTCTCCGTTGGAGGGGACGTCATACTTGCAAGTATTATTGCTTTTAATGCGAATATTGTGTTGTTGCTGTACGTTTGTTACCTAACTGATTATTCCCTCTAGTCTAGACCACAGCTGATTTTAAAGCTGCTACGACAATACAAAAACATCCCGTCCGATTTTCATTAAACTTAGGAAGACTCCATTCGATTTTTGAGTGGATCCTAATCATGGTGCAACTACACATATATTTTTCTGTATATATATATTGTTTTTTTCATGATAGGGGAAGGCCTGGACGTTGGTCTGTGCTCTGTGTCCTCTCAATGTTTTATTTTACTGCTGACATCGAGCCTTGCAGTGCCCCCAACTCTTCCAAGTACATCATTAAGATGTTTATGGTAGAACATTTACTCAAGTCACACATTTTACACAAGAGGAGAAGGTTCAGGTTCAATAGACATAACTAACAGCGTTTAATACTGCTGGTGTTAAGAACCACAATTCACCAGGCTAAATGAGGTTTAACAGATAAAACTCCAGTCTAGGATACACATACATGCATGTTGCTTATTACACATTGTCATTATTATTACATGCATATCACATGCCTTCTCAATACATCCCCCAGCATGACAGGCATTATACAAATGCTCAAAATAGTGATGTACTTTCTGCAATTTGTAACAATGACAGTCTTAAATACATGTGTTGCATTCCATAAAAACCCACTGGAATACGAAATTATGCTTATTGTTAGAAAATATGCTGAATATTCCCTCTGTGGCAAAATGACTGTAAGAGAGCAAAAGCAGCTAACAGTCTAAATCCATGATTCATCACATCAGCAGTTCTCTGGTTGACTCAGACATCCTCTCCTTTGTTTCCGTTTTCCTGTCGTTTTCTGATATGATAATTTAGCCTATCTCTGTCTCCCAGCAACCCTTGAGACACATCTCTATAATAGACCGGCTTAATAGCACATACTGGAAGTCAGGGGGGGGTGAGCGAGTCTAACAAAGTGAATTGTGTTTTATTTTTGTTGTAATCTCACAATAAAATCTAAGCTATTATTCAAAGTACTTTCAATACTTCCCACACAGCCCGAAAATAGCAAAAATGTGAATCTTTTTAACATAGCATCAACATCTGGATCAGGTTGTCCACTAAGTTAATAATACAACCAAATACTGTCATAAAAATATACAGTGCAAGTTGAAGTTTTTACACCGAGTGAAAACACATGGGTGCACATAAATAAAGAAATCTTCCTCTGCTCTTTAATTCAGCCACACCCTGTCTGCATGCAATCACACCCACCGTATCCCAGCACACCCTTATTTCACAGGCAAATAATGTTAACTAAAGAATTGTGTGCACTTTAACTGTAATGTGTTACATTACCCTCATTAGACCGATCCTGAGGAAGGAAGCTCACCTTTCTCCATACACACACCCTCACGATTACACCTAGAATAATAGAGTAGGCGTGGGCCGAAAGCATGTCCCAATCTGTGAGGTAGAGAGGCTTACGTAGGATATATTCAGTTGTTGTCAATGCCAAAGTAAATACAACTGAGCTTTTAAATGGTGCAATCCGTAATTGGCACATTTCTTTGCTGTGTTGCCTTTGTACTACAATTCTGCAAAAACAAAACAACAACAAACAAACAAACAAACAACAAAGTGTTATAATTTTAGGTTTAATCTGAAGCTATGCACAGTGTATAAACGGTATCCCTTATAATACATAACCCTATAACTTCATGGGACAAAACATAATTAGACATTTATCAGATAAATTCATGTTAGCAATATTAAAATGTGGTTGCAAATCATTTACTTTCTAAAGTATCCAAAACAGATAGCAGCCACATACTGTATGATCTAGTGATGATCTGCAAGGCCTGTAGCCCATCACACTGATCTTCAGTTCTTGCTAGTTTTTGCCTTCTGACTGGTGTTCAGTTGGCTAAGGGATTTAGGAGTTATGTGATTAGGAGCATTCCAAAGTTTGTCAACTCCCAATTCGTGATTGTTTTGGTTGTACGTGTAGATGATGCAATAAGATTGCCAGTCCTACGGGGATCAGTCTGGGTGTGATGAGGCTGTGAGCAGCCACAAAAATATCAGACACACAGGAGTGCTGTCTTCTGTATGTATGCATGGTAAATCCATCAATGTGCCATTATGGTTAGATGGAGCTTCTCCTGTCAGTATTCTGTCAGACTGGATGCACTGCCGGGTTTGACAGTGTAACATTAACTCTATCAATATATCTGCTATACAGGAAAAGCAAAGACAAACAGCTCATTGATGCTCGTCACGTCTGACACCAAGCTGCTGGCTACACCTGCTATTCCTCAAACCCACAAACACAAGTCTGAACATTGATATAAACTGTCAACGTAACCACACTGGAGAACTAGAAAACTCCCCACAGGACAGGCCGAGTTACTTCTGTATCCTATCCATTTGCAAATAGCTACAAATGTTAGCTACCTTTGGTGTTCGGATATGCTCCATTTCCCCGAAAAGAGACAGCTGTCAGCGACTGCAAATCTTCACACGACGCCTTCCGGAGATAACTGTATCATTGATAGTTTGTTGCCTCAAACTGCTGCACAAACGGCCTGTACTTTGTCGGAGGCATAAGATTTATGTTTATTGTCAATTATTTTACTCCTCCATCCGGGTAAAGATCCGGGAAATAACGTCAACACTTGATGTTGCATACTTTTCAAAATAAAAGCACAACATGGTCACGCAGGAATTTCTCCAATGTCTTTTAAATATGTATGTATTTCAATTATTATTTATTTTCTTAATTTTCTGTGAAAAAACACAGAAAAGACATATAATACAAAAGGCATACAGTATAACATACATTAGACATTAAAGAGCTCTTATGACTGTTATGCAGAACAATAAGAAGTTACAAATACTGGCCAAAAAATAAAGTGTGGGCGAAACAGCATTGTGAGGTGCAGATCGTGTTTGAATTTGAACACCATTTCAAATACATAAAGTTTGTCTTTACTATATTTTTTTAACTTTCGAATGCTATCTTTTATTTTGAAAGCAAGGCCGTGGTTTTGTTAACGTCCGGAAGTACTAACTTTGCGCATGTGTGAGGCATCACGCGACACAAAAACAGCGAAAGGGAGTATGGGAAATGTAGTTTGAAAAGAGATTACCCAAAATGCAACAGCATTAAGGAAACACCAGGCGGGTAATAGGAAAAGTAACACCATGCGAGGATTTGACATGCAATATTAGGCGTCTTTAATTATCTGAAACACATAAGAAAGGGTTGCGAACACTGCAACGGAAGGGTCCGCATTGAACCTTAGCATTTTTTGAAAAAGCCAACATTTGATCTGGTCTTTTAAAGGCAAGACCGAAGATTTGGCCCTCACGCGGGCATCTTTCAAAGCTAACTAGCGTGTTAGCTGTGATGCTGAGTGTCTTCATGAGTGTCCAAATCACCTGTTTGTGTTAATGCGTTGCTTCTAAGACAACATGTCTGGATTTAACTTTGGAACAGGGACCCTGGGAGCCGTCAACCCTGGTGGGGGATTCTCATTTGGAGGCGCAACCAGGTAATGACATGTTTAAAATAGCCGCCTTTGCTAACGTTAGCATAGACAAAGTTAATCTGACGTTAGCCTGTAAGAAAACGTGTTTCGTTTTACATTAAGGTTACCGGTGTTACTGTGCCGGAATCGTTAATGTAACTTACTTTTGTAAAGAACAATACAATGCGAGGCGAGTTGCTTCTTATTATGTTTGCAAGAGAAACCTAACCATAATGATATAACTTCAAAGTTGTGATCTGTCAGTTGAGTAGTAAAAGGCACATTTTGAGTGACATTCTTAGCAAAAGGGACTTTACATTGTCACAGCTTTCACTTTGTTTTACTAGATTGTACTTGTATTGATAAGCTGCACTCTTTGTGTTATATGCAACAAGTAAGATGTGGAAAGTGAAAGTAAAAGTAAGAGGGCATGTTTACGTCTTTCTATTGATTATTTACAAGTATCACGTTATATTGCATTACTTGGACAATGTCCAACAACTGTTTCTTTGTTTACGTCTTGACTCTGGTATCACTAAGGAGCTGTGGTCATGTGACTAATTGTCTTCCTTTTGCATTTGTAGTACACCTGCAGCCAATGCCGGTGGCTTCTCTATGGGCACAGCCCTCGGTACAGCAGCCACAACCCTTACTGCCACCACAGGTGCCACCCCATCTCTCGGACTTGGAGGCGGTCTCTTCGGTCAGAAACCTACTGGAGGATTCTCTTTCAACACACCTGCATCAGGTAATACTGTTACACAGATTTAAAAAACCCAGTGGTAAACACTATCATAAACTCCTGCGTGACTTCATTCTTACCCCTTGTCTTATGTTGTTCTCTTTTAGGTGCTGTTGCACCCACTACAGGCCTTACATTAGGTATGTTTGTTTTTTGGTATATTTCTGAAGTAACTTAATTGAAAGTTAATGAAATCAGGTTATAACCTTGCTTTCTGTGCCTATTTTCTCTCAGGTGCACCTGCTGCTACAGGTGCAGCCACTGGTTTTAGCTTGGCCTTCAACAAGCCCACCGCCTCAGCAACACCCTTCTCCCTCACCACCTCCACGCCCTTGGCAGCTCCTGGAGTGGCAGGCTTATCGTTCGGCTCTGTCCTGACAGCCACAGCTCCACAGCAGACTTCAGCCTTCGGCCTGGGTCTTGGGGGTGCAGCAACCACCACAGCAGCATCCTTAACAGGCCAAACACTGGGCGGAAGTCTCTTCGCCAACACTTTGGCTTCAGGTGAGATGCAACACACACTGAGCTTGTCCAATGCAAGTATGAAGTCATATAGATTAACTGAGAGTAATTAATGGGTTCTGTTGATTTTGGTCAGTGAGTATGTTAATGACCTTTGCACATTGCTATGCCTTTAGATTTTCAAGGAGGTCATCAATGTTTACATTTTAGTAACTCAACCTTCTTAACTAAGGACTATGTATTTTTAGTAATCAGTCTTAACAATGTTACCCATTATTAAAACCTATGTTTGTGTTTACTTGGTGTTGCAGGTTTGGGTCAGACTCTTGGAGGTGGGTTAACGTTAGGTTCTCTGCTAGCTTCCTCCACTGCATCAGCAGTGGCCCCGGCCCCCAGTCTTGGCCTGGGTGGAGTCGACTTCAGCACGTCCTCTGAGAATAAGAGCGACACATCATCTGGAGCCAATGCAAAGTAAGTCCTGCTTACCAACATGTGTGTGGTTTTTTGCTGAAAGTTAATGCTAGAACTTTCAATAACTCTATATGCTATAATGGATTATAGTGTAAACAACTGTTTACTGGGAGCCATTCAGTGGCTTCCTACTCTGCTATGTGTATATCTGATCAGCAAGGAATGTTCTGCGTGTTGTAATGAAATGCACTCTTTCTCTCGCAGGGACAGTAAAGCTTTGAAAGATGAGAACCTACCACCAGTTATTTGTCAGGATGTTGAGAATTTCCAGTAAGTGTTGTATGTGTTTATATTGTCTATTAGAAATTGGTACTAGTGCACCAAAATGTATTGCTGGCAAAACAATTGTGTTGAGTTATTATCAATTGTCTCTTTCATTCATTTTCATAGAAAATTTGTTAAAGACCAGAAACAGGTTCAGGAAGACATCAGCAGGATGTCATCTAAGGCCATTTCTAAAGTCCAAGACGACATCAAGAGCCTCAAACAGTCTCTCTCTGTCAGCGCCAGCGGCCTGCAGCGCCAAGCTCTGGCCATCGACAAGCTCAAGATGGAAACAGCGCAGGTAAATACTGTACATGTGCACACACAATCTTTAGTGTGTGTGGTATTAGGTGTCTTTTTATTCTGAATCAAAAATCTTATATAAACACAAATGTTATGTTGTATATGGTTACTACGGGTCTTTGAATTTGGAAATGAGAGGGGTTAAAAGGAAGTCCTTGACGTATTAGACGAAACTAAACAATGGACCTTATTGGCACGGGTAATTGAAAATGTTTGAATCGCTATATATTGTGCAAGAACAGAATTTGAGTTTTTTTTTTTTTTAGTCAACGTTATCAATTTCTTGTCTGTGATGGGAAATGACAAGAAAAGATGCTCCATTGCTAGACCAAGATGGATACGAGTTTTTCCTTATCTTGTGGCATACCTATAGCTTCTTTACCATGTCTGTTACTCTCAGCTCATGAACTGAAAAGTGCAAAGTGCCCTCCAAGAAAATGATAGTATCCTTAAGAAACTTTTAAAAAATGTGCCTCTGATTTTTTTTCCCCTTTGTATTGAAGGAGTTGAAAAATGCTGACATAGCACTGCGTACACAGAAGACCCCCCCTGGACTTCAGCATGAGAACAATGCTCCATCAGAGTAAGTTAGCCCCCAGATAGTAGTCCTGAAGCAAATCAAAGGTGTATGTGTGCAGCAGTTTCAGCTTTATGGCCTGTTAAGTCATTATGCCCCTAATGCTTGTCTCTAAAAAAGATATGTGTACGTTTCTTGTCTTTTAGTTATTTCCGGAGCCTGGTAGAGCAGTTTGAGGTTCAGTTGCAGCAGTACCGACAGCAGATAGAAGAATTGGAGAACCACCTGACAACACAGAGCAGTGGCTCCCACATCACTCCTCAGGGTAAGAACATTTGTCTCCCTTGACAGATGGGTCATTACTTTACTGTAAACTAGGTCAAATGTGTCTTGAAATGTTAAACTGCTCTCATCATGGTGACTCACAGGATGTATATTGTGAGTATAAGCGAAATCGGATAAACTAGTTTTTATATCAATATTAAAGCTGATGACTGTATAACTGGAAAGCATTTTCCCACATTGAGTACACGGAAAAATAATCCTCTGTTCGGATCCACAACAAAAACCCAGATTATTATACTGTGTACGCTTTTGTTTCCAGACTTGACCATGGCTATGCAGAAGTTGTACCAGACATTTGTCGCACAGGCTGCCCAGCTCCAGTCTGTTCATGAGAATGTCAAGGTCAGTTATTTTCCTCTAGCTTTGTTTGAAAATGATTGCAACTTTTATCAACTGTGTCAGTATTTGAATAGAAAATGTGTTTCCCTCTATCCCTTTCATCTGTCATAATAGATCTTGAAGCACCAATACCTCTCCTACCGCCGGGCCTTTCTAGAAGACTCTACGGACGTCTTTGAGTCCAAACGGGCGTCAAACAGGAAGTGGCAGAGCACGCCGCGAGTCACGACGGGGCCGGCCCCTTTCTCTAATGTGCCCAACGCTGCAGCGGTTGCCATGGCAGCCACGTTGACCCAGCAACAGCAGCCAACTCCAGGTCTGACTGCCTACAAGTTCTAGAAAGTTTTCTTCTTCTCATCTTAAAATGAAAGAGGGAGAGGAGGGACAGGAAAACAGTGTTTTTATAATGAGGCAATAGTGCGAGTAGAAAGGTGAGAAGGTGACAGAATTGAAAAGATTAAAAAAGTTAATGTGTATGTATTTCTCTAATGAAAGAATGAAGATGAGAAATCAGTTGCTAAACTCTTACAACAAACCTTTGTGCTGCCTTACCATCTTGACATACAAACACTACCAAGGATATAATAACCTACTTTATCTAATTTAGCTCTGTACCATCTCCAAGAGTATTTTAGAGCAGGTAGATGAAGCCGACTTAGAATGCGTTTTTTTATAATGGGAGCGTCCAGCTATCTCAAATTAACTCACTTGAGTCTTGAAGTTACAATCAGAGCTCCTAAATTAAATGTAATTTAGGGTGCCTGAAATGAGCCAACTTAATGAAGTTATGTGATGGGATTAGACGCAATAGACACTTGCCGTGTAATTTAGATGTACTTGCCAATTATCTGGTCTATGAGGGTAAACAGATTATAATGTAGCTCCTACTCTCTTCAGTCTAACTGTCGAGAGGTCTCTTTAATGTAAAGAATCGATCAGAAGCCAAATGGCATCCGCTTACAACGACGATAAAGGACATTTCTAAGAACAGTGTCAAATAAAGATTGAATGTTCATTGAAGCATGGAGCTTCTCTCGACTTGCCAAAATAGTCTACTTCAAGCCAAACCTACATTTATTGGCTACCATACTTATAATGAACCATAATTGAACTAAATGCCTACATCAAAAAGCCAGTCTTATTTATTTATTAAAGAAATGTAAGATATGTTCCTCAAATGTGTCATACAACCTGTTCAATCATTTCCATCTTCTGTAGAGGATGTACAAACAAAAACATATTTAAAATATTATTCAACACAGTATTAACACCCAGCATAAGCAGACAGGTGAAGATTGATTGTTGAATTTAGTTTACTGCTTACTCACAGATTAGTGTCTTCAACTTTTTCTATAACTTGATGATGTACGCATCCCAAAAAATACTTAAATAAGCCTGCACAATATACTACAAATGTTAACTATGTTAAAAGTAGTTTCCATAATGGTTGTTGCCACATTCATCGGTGAGGTGTTAAACAGATGTTCAGCCTTTTTTGTAGGCTTCGGTTAGTAGGCCGTTTTACTGGCATATCAGGGCACTTACCTACTATGAACAAACTAAGCTACTGTGTATGTTAGCATGTTCCTGCTGCCTTTTTTGTTGGGGTTAGGAAAGACGAAGTTTGAAAGCAATATTTCAAGTGTGGTTTCATTTGAAAGTCTTTAGGCGCTTTCACACCGCAGTACTTTTCCCACAAAGGTTCATGAGAACTTAGTTCATCAGAACTCTTTAGTTCTGATGAACTAAGTACAGATCGCGTTAACACCGGAATAAGTCCCCCGGGGAGGATTAGGCAAATGAAGCCGCTGACGTCAATTCTTCTTCTTCTTCTGCTTTGGGTTTACTGGCAGGCCGCAAACAACTTCACGGCGTATACTGCCACCCGAAGTCCCCGGCCGGAAGTCCCCGGAGTTGGGGACTGGCTTCTACTGAAGCCTTCCGAGTAAATCGCCAGAACGCTGACACCTCCTCATATCCACCGCTCCCATGTTTTATTTTGTCTTGCCATAAGTTAGTCTCTCTGCGTTTCTGCGCTGGGCTAATGCAAATGCGAGGATAATAAAATGGCGGCTTCACAAAACTTTTTGGGAGTTTTACTGGCCGTGGTTTGCAATCCGCCCAGCCAATCAGAAATAGGAACCTTTTTCTCCCACGAAAGTACCTGCTCTCTAGCAGGGACGGAGAAGGGGGTAAAAAAGGTTCTGATGAACTAATTTTAGTTCCGGCTCTTTTTGGTGTGAACGCGAGATTTCGGAACTAAAGTGGGAAAAGTACTGCGGTGTGAAAGTGCCTTTTGCTGATAATTATCATTATCATCAGATCCAATATTCCTCAATTGTTACCCAGACAATGAATGTTGCTTATTTGTCAGTGTCATATGAACATTCTTATACCTCTGATGTCTTAGCAGGACATGCAGACGCTTCTCTGAATTAGCATCTAGTCTAAATGCCAAGTATTGCTTGACCCTAATGTGCAGAAACAAGCTCTTCACATCAAGCCCTTTAGCTACAGTACGTACAATACCTGTGTGTATGTAGAGACACTACCTTGGTGCCTACTGAAGAGATTGATTTGTGTGCTGCTTTCCATTTTTTATCTCGTATAATGCCAAATCTATTTCTAATCATTAGTTTGTGTTCTCTGCGTATTCTAGCTAGCTGTAAAATATTCATAGTCATTGCTTTGCAAGTCAGTTAATCCCAGAGTGGGGGACTAGGTAAAACGATTGTCTTTTTTAAGGTAACTCCAATTATTTTGTCAAATAGTTTTTTTATATATTTAAATAAGTCATTTCATTTCAACTCCAAGGCTAGACAAGTCTTTGTTTGGTTCTGTTCAGTATTTATTTACCTATTTATTTCAATTTTACTTTTGGTTGGTGCTGAGTCTGTTATTGGGGTGGCCAGTATCGCAGCACTCGCAACACTAACCATGCAGCACGGTGGCGCTAACTCCAGTCAGATTTGTGTTTGACCCGAACACTGGTTGTGTGCTGGTTGATTGTGAAGGCCAAACGTCTGTTCAGATTTGTCTCTCGATAGGCCGAAGGTGAAAGATGCCAAAAGACTCGGGACTGAAAGTATGAACAATGTAATGGCCTGAACTTAACGTTCAAACTAAGATATTGTCTTTCCATTACTGCAATTATTCTGTCTTAGAGTAAAAGCAAGGCTGTTGACCTTGTAAAATATCGCTGGTGTTCGTCACGTATTGCTGCTCTTAAGGCAGGGATGCTCAGTGTTTGTTTTCAATCAAGTGCTGTGAACAACGAGCCAAATGAAGGTTCAGTAACAATATGGCTAGTCAACAGTGGCAACAAAAGTCTGCATTAACTCACTGTTCAATACTGCTTACCATTCTTACTTGATTTAAGCTATTTCACCTAAGGGCTACTGTCAGTGTTACAGTGCTGGAACAAGTTGTAATTTCATTTTCATTATATCCAAGATGGTGGTACTTTGTGGACCTTTGCCAAGGCAAGTTTTTTTTGAGTATCGTTTTTTTTTAGTATTGTAGAAATTCTACTTTGTGGTTGGTTTGAGTGAGTTTAAAAGAAAAGGATTGGTTTTACTGTTCACACTGGTCTACTAAAATACATTGATGCCAAACAAAACAGACAGATCAGCAGGGTCAGATTGTATGTCCACATTTTTATTGGAGTCATTTCCCACCATTGTTCGATGAAAGGAATGTAACTCGAGTTGTAATAATTGAGTTTCCGGAGATAGCATTAATGGCACTTCGAAGAGTGAGGATAACAAAACATTGTAAAGTTCTCATATAAACTCACAGTTCTCTCTGCAGCACTTATCTGTACATTGCTGCTAGTTACAATTGTGCTTGGTAAACCCAACCTAGTGGATTCTCTGTTGATGCTGCTTGTTGAGAGAGAAACTGCTGCTTCGGACATTTCAACCTCTCCACACGTTTAAGATACAATGTCGGTCCGAGCTGGATGTTTGTCAGCTAGATTTCCAAGGTGGATAGAATCTTTGACTTTTATTTACACGCTCAAACATAGTCTTCCACCTTTCTACAGACGTACTTGGCATAATAATGAAGAATAAATGATGTTGTAATTATTGGTCTGTCAAAGCTGCATGGACCCAGAAGGTGATGGTAAATATTTAGCCATCTTATTCCTGTTTGTTCGACAGCAGGGGATTTTCCCCCTTTTTTGAAGTGAAGAATTTATAATGTGAATTAGTTTTGGATTGGTTGGCACAGTACCAGCAACAGTGTTCAACTCAATGAGAGTTATTGTGAAACTCATTGATTATTCAAAGGTTGTGTAAATGGTTTCTTTAGTTTCCGTGTGGTGTTACTCTTCAGCGCAGCAGTTCTTTCAAATAGGCTCGAATAGTCGAAAATGAGAGTCTGGTCTTTTGAGTTGCTAGCTGTCATTGACTTTTTTTATTATGTTATTATTTTCTCTTAAATCATTTGACTTTTGACCATTGCTTTATGCTTTTTTGTAGTTGATTTTCAGGCGGTACTAGTATTGCAGATTGTGTCATGGGGGGTCTTGGGTGATTTCCGAAAAGCTATACATGTCACCTCAACAAATCAGACTTGATCCGAGTCCATACAAAGAGTGTTTGTAGCCTGCAATCATGTGTAAATGAATTCAAGCTGCAGGTTTGTGTTTAAAACAACTAGAATTGGGTTGTAATGTCTTTTAAATACACTGGTTAAAAGGGTTCACACACAGCTCATTTTAATCACGTGACAACAATGACTTCCACAGGCTAACTGTAACATATCACTGAGTTTACACTGAGGCAGATGCCAAATCCACATTTCTTATCTAAATCTTGAGTGCTTTTACCTGTAGAGGAATGTGTTTAAACCTATATAACCAATGCCTGTTGATACAGTATATTTAATATATAATATGGTGTGCCTTTTAAGCTATATTCAATAATTGTGTGATGCATTTCTTTTCTTTTTTTGGCGTATGCTAGTTCATTCACTCTCAGAAATCTTGAAAATTTGGAAACTTGTCAAATGCAGTAGCAGTTAGCAATTAACAATCAGTTATGTTCTAAAATGTTTGTTTGTGTTTTATGTCAGTGGAATTGCATATTAAATTGACAATAAATCAATTTTTACACAAAGAAACGGTTGTCCTTGTTTCTTTTTCGACTGAAGTTCATTTAACAATGCAATATAATTGGAAACTTTATCAAATTTGATTACATAAAAGAAAAAAATGCATTAAGGAAAAAAAGACAAGTTTCTGAGTGAAAGAACTAGCAGCACATTTCCCACGTTGTATTCATTACCTGGAATGTTATTGGTTTAAAATAAATATGTAATATCATTTATTGGTAACATAGTATTTGCTGACTGCAGTTGTAATAGCATTATGCATTTTCTTAAGGCAGTTATACTGTTGTATTATATTTCTTAAGCACTGAGCGCTGTAATCTTGTGATATTCAAACGCTACCACTATATGTTGCAGACATTCTGTCTCTGCGAGGTATAACATACATGGGGAAACTTGAATCTTGATATAAAATTACAAATGACATGTCCTTTTCATAATGAATGTCTTTACCAACTTTTCTGTCAAAGGAGATGATGATTTTGAACACACACATTTAGAGGAGTAAAGCATATGCTCTCTCTCTGTGTCATAGGGACCCAGGCACCCTTGGGGGTAGGGTTCGGAAACCCCTTTGCCTCGGCAGTGGGCACTAGCTTGGGCTCTTCTACCCTTGGAGGTATAACCTCTTTTTTTTATAAATATATTTCCCTGTTTTGCCCTTCCCTTACACCGTAGACAGTTGTCCTAATGCCTAGCTTTCCCCAGAAGCCCTTGTGTTTGAGGTCTTTGTTTTCTCCTGAATGAAAGTAGTGGTAGGCAGTGTGTGTGAGATTGGTGGAGTTAAAGCTTGGCAGTGTTTATTTTTTTCTGTTCTTCCATGCGCAGGTGGTCAAGTGCGTTCACACCACAAGAAAAACTGAGCAAACATTTGCCACAGGTCACCAAAACATTGCTAAAGAAATGCAACTTACTGTTGCATGTCACCTGGCATATTCACTTGGCTACAACAGCTAGTTAAAAGTATCTGGGCAGTGTTGGAAAAAGTGGTCTGAGCGCACACCAGGTGCGTGTTCTCATGTAGTCGATGTGTTTGGTTTTCCTTCTCATTACGTTTTTCTCTCTTCGGCCTTTGCTTCCCCCCGCAGTGCACTGCGTCTCCAGTCAGAGGTTAAGCTGTGGAGGGCTCTATCGGTTAGGGTTCGCATATCTGTTTTCCATATGGGTTATTTCATGTCAAATGTGATGGAGGCTTTTGTTTGACTTATTTTTTAAATAATTTCTATGCTATTTGACAACAAAAAATATTACACAGATTTACAAAGTTTGTTGCACATGAGCATTTTGGAATATTAAGAGAAGGAAATTTTAAAGGTGTAGAAATGAAACTGTTAGAGACACAACAATTGGTAGGGGCACAGAAAGACGTAAGCATATGTAATATATTTAATTACTGGCCCATTTTTAAAGTAAAAAGATAAATTAGGCAGCCCCCCTCCTAATTAGATATTTGGTCACACTTTTAAAAATAATAACTAATAATAACTTAAGCTGATCAATAATTTATTGTTTTTCAAATAATAAATTGATTAAAATAAATAATTTGCTGATAGAGGCGTAGATGATATACCGTAATTTTCGGACTATAAGCCGCGCCTTTTTCCCTATTTTTCGACGCTGCGGTTTATATAACGGTGCGGCTAATCTATGGATTTTTACAGCTAACGGCCAACACCTTTAACTCTATGGGCTCTATGGCCGGTCCGCGGACCCCCACCTTTAAGCGGCGGGTTCCAGCAGGAAAAGCTGGAGGCCGGAAAAGAGTGAGACAGGTAGCGCGCAAAAGTAAAAGTGGAACCGAGAGTGGTATGCCGCTGGTGCGGCTTATAGTCCGAAAATTACGGTACTATTTATTTAAGTTCTAAAACCAACAAAAATCTGATTTGACATGGAATGACTCAGATGTGTGTGTGTACTCCCGAGCCACTGCTCCTAGTGTAGTTTGTGATTAGCTCAAACTGACTTCCATGTCACTCTCTCCCACAGGTTTTGTTGGTGGGCCAGGATTTGGTGGGGTGGGGACTGGGGGGTCTTCTTTTGCCTTCTCCACCAGTAAGCCCACAGGAGGCAGTCTGAGTGCAGGTACATCATACTGTATACACCCCCCTTCACTCACACCTGGCCCCAACGCATTACAGTACAGCTGAGTCTGAGCAGGCTTGTGTTTGAAAGTGTACTCTCTGAATTGAGAACATTTTGAGTAAGCGTCATCAAGAAAAGTCAAGCTACTGTGAGCAATGTGCAGATGCAGTCAGTGTAATGAGATTCTCTGGTTTCCTCTCTGCTAGTAGGCTTGGTCAACAACGTTATCCTTGTAGTAAGTCTTTTAGCTAAGTGCGCTGGCAGTTTGGGCATTTCGTGTTGGGTTGGACGACTTCTGTTCAAAATTTAGCAAATGCTGGAATCTGGATAACCGTTATTCCTGTTCTTTAATTGCTCCATTACTTTTGTTTTCTCTAATATATTGTTGTCTTTTTTGTCCTGCGTCCTCCCTCTTGTTTTCTCTAGGTTTCGGTAGCAGCAGCACCTCAGGATTTAACTTCAGTAACCCTGGCCTCAACACGTCGGCTGGCCTGACCTTTGGCGTGTCTAACCCGGCAGCTGCAGGCTTCGGCCAAACACCCCTCCTCCAGCTCAAGAAACCCCCTGCTGGTAACAAAAGGGGAAAGAGATAAAACCACAGAAACACTTAAACCCTGACTGACTAGCTCGGTGTCTGTAACGGGTAAGGCCTGGTCTCCCAGAAGCATATCAGTGCTTTAATAATCACTATCCAACTACAGAACAAAGAACATTTTAACCAGACTAAATGATCCAGGCTTTGATTAAAACAACCATAAATCAACACCACAGGATCACACTTTAAAATCACATTGAGGTATGTACTAAATAAACATTGAGAAAACCAAAATCCTATGACCAACAAACATCTTTCTAACAAACATTGGTGTCTATAGTCCTAAAGTGTTGCTCTTCACATGTTCTCATTAGATTAGATTAGACAATTCAATTCCTTCAATGACCTTGGTCTTTTGGATGCCCGGCAACTAAATACATTTGCTAGACAGTGGAGTTCAAGGAAAACTTAAAAATTGTCTTTGCATAATTTAAAATATGAGTTTGCATTAACTCAAACATGCTGCCTGCACATTACAATCTGTAGCGCTACAATGCTCGTGGGAATCCCAGCCATGGACAGATCTGTTTTTTATAGTTCAGTAATCTTTGAGGAATGTCTTTGGTCTGAATATTGATTTTGTGCTTTGAGGTTGACAGTTTTTTCAGTAGTTTACCTAAACTCTGTCAAACTTATAACTGCATTTGAAGCCAATCTAATGATAGATTGGCTGAGGTCTTGTCCAGGAGGGGTAAGATGATATAAAAAGAAAAAAGGCTTATGAGGAAATAAGTCTGGAACAGTGTAGTTCCAGTACTATCTGATCCTGAATAGTTTTATAGGCACAGGAGAGTGTCCAGGGTGGGTTTTTGGGGAAGAACAGCTTTATTTTTGTATCAAGTGGAGAAAGAGATGACACTGGGAAGGGGAAAAGGGGGACTAGCACCTTCCTAGTCCATTATGTAGTCCACATAACCTGTGTTGTTATTGATAGATTCCATCCTTATCATTTTTTGATAATTACTTTTTAGACACATTTAATTTAGCCCAGCGTAGGAACTTGCGAGAGGGAATGCTGTGATTGTATAACATGACTCCCATTACATCTTAAGTTAGATGAATCTGAAAGGGATTTCACAAGCAGATTCTACCTATTCCACTTGTGCTAGATTAAATGTGCACTGGCGTATTTGACCTGACAATGATTGTGTGAATGTGCATGAATGAATTTGTCTCTGGTCTATTATAGTTGCTTTTTTTAATTGTCCATCTCTGTTTGGTTACCAAATACTGGTAGTTGTACTATTATTTTCTAATCACAGTCTGTGTAAACCTGTATTTTCAAGAAGCCGTTTAATAATAAAATCTTAATGATGTTTCATGGCATCACTTCAATAAATATGTATGCTGACACAGAATGGTATCTGTCATGATTTGTGTCGAATGTGAATCACCCAATTTATTTTGTGTCACCAGTTTTTATCACTTTTATGTTAGTTCTCAACAGACCGTCTTAATATATGAAAAAACACACTTCATAGAAATAAGATTTATGCATATTTCCTGGGCATGACAGCTGCACATAATCTTATCATTGGAATGCTATTTGTGCAAATTAGTGAAATTATGTTAAGAAATATGGAATTGTTGAAACATGAAATGTGCTTTGTCCACTGACTCTGCTCACCACAAGGGGGCAGCAGTGCACTTCACGCAGCATCACAGCTACCCTGCAGAAGAAGAACGCCGTTGCTACGCGACGCAACACGCATCACAATTGTGTTATAACATTATTCGAGCCTTTCTTTCCACATTTCTGCCAACAGTTATTGTTGAACTATCCAGGTAATGTTACTTAATTTCGCTATATATTATGACAGTTAAAATGAGTTGTAAAAGTGCCGTTTGGCTAATTTGTGTCCGGTAGCATTGACGTAAACAATCCATTTGACGTTCAATAGATAATGCATTTGTATTTGTAATCGAAAGTAGCTTATTTTCTCCTACTCTACTTGTGGCAGGCTGCAGTTGTTCCCATCCCTCTTGGATCTGCTATCTGACACATCTCATCTGCTAATTTGACAATAATGCAATGTTTTATATTGCAGCCATGCCTCTTCCAGACACAATGTACTGTTCCCAGCAAATCAACATCCCCCCCGAGCTACCAGACATCCTGAAAAACTTCACTAAGGCAGCCATCCGTACACAGCCCAAGGATTTGCTGGTGTGGTCTGCGGCGTAAGTTTAAATCTGTGTTGAAAGGGATTGTTGCTAGTATTTTATTTCAATCGTGATCTCTTAAGAAGAAAGCATAACTCACAAGCTGCATCATTGAATGAAAAGACAGGCCCTTTTCACCTGTGCATTTCTCATCTCTGCATTGACTGGCTGTAATTGGATCCCAGGGGCCTCCGTGTTACTGCAGCGGTTAAACTATCTGACGTTCTCAACTAAGAAAAATCTCTTTGAAAGTACGGGATGCAATTGAAAGATAAAGTGCGTGTTTGTTCCCCTCAGGACTCTCATATCATCTGTTATTTAATTGGCCAATGTAGCTTGGCAGTGTTTACAGCAAAAGACAATAAAGCGAGCCATATGGTGAAACAAAAACAACTCAAATGTCTCCTGGGTTACAAGATGTTTAGATGCTATTAAAGTAACACCAGGCTCTGCCGCCTCTGATGCTGAAATGCTCTAAAGTTGAAGGAAAACCTTGTCTAAACTGTGAAGTAAGATAAATACGCCTTTTAGCAAAATGCAAATCGTTAAACTTAAGACAAACTACTCATTATAATTTAGTCAACTGATGGTCCTAAAAACAACATTTCTTTAATTGGACTAATGTATGCGTCATTGCACATAGTCTGCTTTTGTGACTTTATCTGATTGGAATGGTGCTTAGGTGTGTGTATGTTTGTGTGTATGTTTATGTAAGTGTGTGTGTCCTCTCTCAGATACTTCAGTGCGCTGTCTAAAGGAGAGTGTCTGCCAGTCAAGGACAGGCTGGAGATGAATGCCGCCACCCAGAGAACTGACACTGGGCTGACTCCAGGTCTACTCAAGACTCTTCACAAACAGGTACTTCCTCTACATCAGGGCCTAATCTCATAGAAAGTATCACATAATCGTTTGCCTTATGTTGTTGCTATTGAAAGAAAATCAATAAATTGCATTTTTCCACTGCTTTACCGTTGTAATGCCCTGTACAGGCTAGTTAATATACTGTACTTTGTAATTAATAGCTGCATTAAGTTTAGTATCCATACTTTTCTGTGTGTATCAGCATATTCCACTTATGCTGTTTCCTCACGTGAATAATTAAAGTCTCATATTATAGTAAACATCACCCGGGGCTTGTACTGGCATTTTGGTGTGGTGGATTCATTAAAGGATCTGAATATTTAATATTTCCTTAAAGGCCAACACTTTAGCAACAGTTTTAATCTTTCCAGGAAGCCATCTCATTCAGTTTTTATGTCAGTTATCTTAGTATTTAAATTCTGTTTACTTAATTAAAAAGTCTGCTTCCTTTATGGCCCCAAATTGTCCTGTTGCTCTGGGATACTAAAGCTCATACATTGTAGCTGTGTCTTAATTACAAAGCTGACCATACAGAAAAATCCACCGGTAAAGGAAATCTTGCTTGGTCATTAGTACGGCTGTGTGATTCCCTAGCTCCAGTACTGAAGTTTATTTCAACAAATAAAAAAGTGGGATTTTTACACTCATCTGGTAAACTAGATAACCTCATTTGTCCTCCTTATCTCCCCTAAACTGACACTTCCTCCCCTCTCAGCTGTCCCCCAGGAAAACATGCAGCAAGGAGGAAGTGCAGAAGAAGTGGAAGGGCCTGTGTCTCCCCGTGGATCAGCTGGAGAGCCTGCTGTCGCTGGGCAGCTTTGGCTCAGACATCGACTGGATGGAATTGTTCTCTCTGGGCTGCAGTGCTCTGGGAGGGGTGAGTTGTTACATAAGGCCAGATATAATTGCTAACACCACTTGATACCATTTCCTTTGAGTTTTAAAAAACATTCTGTGAGGCAAAGCACAGCTGGAGGTCCTATAGTGTTTTTCTTTGTTCAATATCACAGTCTAGTTTTCCAGTGTTTAGACGAGACCCAGACGGCTGTGATCCAGACTTCCCCATCAAGGTCCCCAGGCTCTAAAGATAATTCCTTCTCGGAATCTTTGTGATGCCTTTAAGCCAATGGTTTCGCTTTAAAGTTGCAGATAGAGCAGTGGAGACAGATTAGGGAGAATTTCTCGAAGAAGAACTTTACAGACGATTATGTAGAATCTGCAAAAGCATGTGCAGCATTATGTGCTCAGTGTCAGTACTTTGGATGGATGCTTATACGTATGAGATTGTTTATGTTTTGACCACATGAGGGCAGTCATGTTCTGCACTGAATTCGTTTTCACTGCTTGTAACTTGTGTGTGTGTGTGTGGATAAGTATACTTGAAGTGTGTGATGCTCCAACAAGACCTGACCGTCCTTGAATGCTGAAAACACATTTATGTATTTGTGTGTCTGTTTCTTTTGACAAATTCCTATCGTCAGCTTCTTGTTTCTGCCACATCCTCAGACCCTCGTGAGTTCTCTGAAGTTTGCCTGTGAGATCCTGACAGAGGATGAGGAGGGCGGTGCTGCGAGGATCCCCTTCGACACCTTCGTCAAACTCTACACCTTCCTGGCTCACCTGGACGGAGACATGCCACAGCAACACATCGACAACTTCCTCAGCAGCCTGCAGCCACAAGTGTAAGTGTTATCTGTGTGTGTTCATTCTCCTCAGCATTATAGCTGTCAGCATGCTCATGAAAACCAGGCATACTTCAACTTGCAATAAGCAGAGTGGATGTAGGCGGTGGAAAATGAGGCTGTTTTATATGCATCAACAACAGGGATGCTACCCACTTCTTTTTTTCTCCAACAGCCTAATTATTTTTCTCATTTGAATCAATTCCCCTTGGATATACAGTAGCTCCAGTCAAATCTCATAAAAAAATCCTTATTTTATTAAATCTTCAAGGTCATATGATATCTGCAAGTAATAACCGAGAGGCAACAGAGGTTGGACTTATGTAACCTCAAAAACCCTCATGTGGCATCTACCAGAATGTTTCATTTCCCCTCGTTTATTTAATCTTATACAGGGTGCTGCTGATGAACATTCAATTAACAGCGGAATTGCTGACCAGCATTTGAAAACGACATGTCATAATTGACAAGAGACATATTTAATTTAATAAATGCAAGAAATACATTCAAAGTCTACAGTAGTCTGAAGGTGAGCTGCCAATGTTTTTCTGCACTGATGACTCGAGATGCGCTGAACACTGCTTTAAACATTTTGTGCCAGTCAGTGTTGGCACAGATAGTTATAAGAGCTATACTCACTGTTGTGAACATCCTTATGCTGCTGACATGAGCTGTTGCACTGGTTTCTCTTCCCGACAGCAACAAGCAGAACGGCATGATTCAGGTTTCCAACTTCTGCATCAGCAGGAAGTGAGCGAAGGAGCGATGGAAGATAGGAAAGAAAGGGAAAGAAGTAACACAATGATAGCGTTCGATTAATAAATGGGCGTGCTAATGCTCCTTCAAGCACAGCTGTTGTTTCATTACTTAGAAATTGGGCCCATTAATTGTTAGCATCAGACACAGTGGGTTATTATTCATCACTGCCCAACCGAACAAGCTGCTATTTTGAGTCAGGCTGGAATCTTTTAATGAGCAGCATGAGAGGCACAAAGCTGCCTTACCCAAACTGTCAGGTGGAGTGTGTTTGCTTTTTATTGCTTGTTCCCTTATGTCTGGGTTTGCCAGTTATTCTATCATACACACAACCTCAGCTTGCAGCCTCGCAGCACTTGGCCTCTCTGCTGTATTCATTTCACCCAGCAGATGGGAAAGAGGAGAGGTGAGGAGATAAGCTCCGAGGTCACAAGAGCGTGATTTTCATCTTGTGTTAAAGAGCTAAAACCCCCCCCCAGTGTTTTGTTCACTCCTCCGTGCAATATTTGTAATGGGCAAGTTCAAATGCACGCTCATACAGGTTTATTACCCTCGTCTCAAAGCACACACAATCACATGGACGACCAAGAAATCTCTAAGGTTCACACCAGTATGCATAAATGTCACACCAAATCTATCATAATTAATATATGCTGTTTCATATGTCAGTGTGAGAGCACAATCTGTGGTCACATGGGCCCAATATGACTGTTTCTTTACCCCTTACACACAGATACTTAAACCTCTAGTTGTGAAACTCAACTCTGTATTTTATCGAGCAGGGCAGTTAACACGGTCAGTGGGAATTCCCAGTTCAGGCAGTTGGCAGTAGGTTGCGAAACAAGTTTACCCCTCGCAGAATCTTAGCTGAGAGTCAAAGGGGAAGTAAGGACAGATGGAATCCCTTAAAACTGCAGGCTATCCACCCAAATGACGCAGCGTAAAAAGGACATTTTGTCAGGGCGGAAAACAGATTGTTTTTATTCAGGTGAAACTGAGATATGAGCTAACAAAGATTTAGCATTACAGCCTTACAAACAACTGCGATTTTAAACTTGAACAACATGTATCAGAACATTATTTGCAAATGAAGAAGTACATTTAAACTTTGATTCCTGCGTTCCTAAACCTGCAATAACTTTACCGGGAATCCTGAAACTTTAAATACGATCAGGAACTTCCGGGGCCATAGTTTCTTCTCCACAGAAAGTCCCTGATACCAAGTGGGTACTTTCCAGTGGACAGGGAAGTATGGGAGGTTGCAGTAATGAGCATCGCTGACATGCCCAACACAAACCTTGTGACTTCAAAAGTATTTGTGCTGTGTTTATTTTAACTGTCAGGAAGCACTTTATGTTGCAAGATTCATTGAGTGATAGATAAGTACTTTATTTAGTGTAAAAAAAGTACCACAAAATAATGTAGATTCTCACATATCAGAAACTGCCTTTTTCTTTTTCAATAACCCTTTTTACCTCTGCATTTCTTTCTTTAAGCAAAGTAATACATTGTACTTTAAATTCTTGTGATTTAACTAGACAATCCACCGTGGAGCTTATTACCATGTATTTATTATAACACGAAGACAATAAGTTCAAGTAAAAACACCCAAAAATCTGTATTTACAGACCTTAAAAAAGTCACAACAGTATTCTCAAATACATTGAAATTAAATGAAATCTTTGTAGGCCCATCCTTACATGTCTATACCACTAAAAGTTATTTTTCAGGTCCATCCTCTCTCCAGTACAATGGTCATACAGTACAGCTTCAGAACTGTGTGCCCCATTGTTTAAGGATGGTGTTACTTGGGAGAAACATGATGTCATTGCAAAGATGTCAGTGTCTCAGGAATCTCTGCTCCAGGGTGGACCATGTTGCACAACCCTTCACTGTTTCTTCAAGCTTTATCCATAACATCACATCTCCAGGGACACGACAAATGTAGCAGAGCCGTGTGAGAAAGACAGGAGAAGAGAGAATGGACACAAAGGCTCCATTTCAGCTTTCGTCTCTGAAGCTGTTGTGTAACAGATTTCAGGGTAAGGATGAGGGAAAACATGATGCATGTTGTTTTATGAAGGTGTAGAACATGGATATTTTATCAACCAGCTAATATTGTACTCTAGATCTATTGTGAGGCACGGTTGTTTGAATTAGTATGTGTTAGTTTTTATGAGTTATCTAACTTTACTCAAAAGAGACACCAGGTACACCATTGACCAAACAACACAACAAGTTGCTATACAGCCTGCAAGTTTTGCTTTTTTGTAGGAACCTTATGAACTTTTAATTGTTTACTTATTGCTTACAATGTATAAATTCAAGTCATAGATGTCTAACAACTTGCTTTTTTTTTCCAGGGAGCTCCAACACGGGATGATTAAACCTTTAGACTTCATATATCAGGATAATATCGACTCAACGACTCATGCTTCGTCAAACTTTGCCAAAGCAACCTCACGAGCGGAATAACAATTATGTGAACAACATTGACACAGTGACTGCGTGTTGATGCATTTGTTTATAGGTGAGACCGAAACACCTTTCACTACTCTGTGTCTAATGTAACTAATGCGCTGGATTTGGGTTTACAACTCACATTATCTTGGTGCTGAGGTGGGAGGAGCCAGCAGAAACCTCCAGGGCTGCATATGATAGGGACCTGTCAATCAAGCACACTTCCCCATTATCTTCTTTATGGAACAATGATCTCACAATCCCCACAGTGACACAGATTGGCACATGGCAAATGAATTATTGAGACCTGAACTCCTAGTGAAAATATGTAATTATTTGGTATTACAAGAGAGATGTTCTTTCTTTGAGCTAGTGTTCCTGCAGCTATTGGGATAATGACAGTTCAAAGCACTTCTGCATTCCCCACTATTCCTCACCATCACAGTGAGATGTTTCAATCTAGGTATCTTTGTATTGTATTTTGTATCATTAGTGATTCCGCCTCGAACAGCATTTGAGGGACGAGCTATACATAATGCTGACTTGGCCAGGCTGTATTTGGGCGTTGTTCTTACACACATGAACACACATCACACAAAATCATGGTCCATTGCTGGCTGATTAAAATTAGTTAATTACCACTATTCGATTGCTCTTATTCAACTGGCAGTGAAAGCTTTTTCTGTCCCTGAATTGAAGTGTTGTCCTTAGCCTCTTAATAATAAGTGGTGTCCGTCCCGACCCCATGAACTGATTGAGCAATAATACATGAAGTGTTTCTAATCACTCTACTAATTATCACTACATTAAGTCGTTCCTATGAAGTGGAAAAACATAATTTTCTGGCAAATCTAAGACACAAGCGGACCCATTAAAACCTTGTTGTAAACATTCACAATTATCATCACACACACACACCCCACAAAAACCTAAACAGTTCAGTACTTGTGTCAAGAAGAGATCACAGGGATCTTTGTATTGCACTCCTGCTTCGGGTATGCCATCGAAGAGGTGTGTTGGTGTGTTCTGGCTGCTTGTGGTCTTAGGGGGAATATATAAACAACCAAATGGGGGAATGACTGTAGAAGCTTGTCTAATACCAGCACCAAGGTCAATATGCTCATTAAGTTAATTTGGGATGCTAGCATTTATAAACCAAGAGTGATTTTATAAATGTATTAAAGTGGACCTATCATGCTATATTTGAAACATTACTAGACCCGTTTTCATTATGTGTATGTTATTGACTCATTGATAAATGTTTCAACATTCTATTTTAAGACCGTTTCCCATATTTTTCTACACATTGTACAATTACTTTTTCTGACATAATTCTGTCATTTTTTGATCATTTCAACATACGAAATTATTTTGTTTTTCCTGATATTTTCGAAAGGCTCTATTTTGTCGAAATATTCAGAAATAACTACATAGAGTAGCATAGTTTGTCGAAATTATGCAAAAAATTAAATAGTATAGAATACTATTTCATCACGTTATAGACAGTGATCAATAAAGGTACATCTTCTTTGTCTACACACTACATACTGGACATACTATACCATGCCTTATTTGGACATAGTAAAACAAAACATGGTGTTTTATGTCGAAATAAGGCATGGTATAGTATGTCGAAATAATGCATAGTCGAGTTTTTTAAATTTATGACATAGTACTACTTCACAAGTAGACCTCAGAAATGCAGAGCAACTGACAAACGTGCTGGTGAGCAATACTGAACCATCTCCCTACGTCTATCTTGACCAGAAACCTGGTTTGAACAGAAGATCGAGACAATTATTTTAAAACTTGGTTCTCTGGTGTTTGTGTGTGTGGCTTGACCAGACGGTGCAACATTGCTCAGATATATATCGTTGGCAGAGCTAACACTGTCTGTCACCCGCACAGCTGGCGACCGATACCATAGAGATAAAGAGCCACAGGAGAGCAGAGCTCTCAGCTGGGGGCAGATGAAGGTAGAATAATAATGGGTACACACAGGGACTGTTATGCACTCGATTTTTCCACAGCAGGTGATGTCAGCAAACTGATGTTATTAATTACTGAGAGAAAAAGGAGCATCTCTGTAAATATGTCTATGACAGAACTGCAGACTTTACACAAAACTCTGCAAAGCCATGCATTCTCAATAGATGGACAAAACAGTAAAGCCATATTCTCTTTTAGTTTTATCCTATTTTTTATTCTACCTTTCTGTGGATAGTGAGAACAACAATATGAGATAAATGTTAGGTAACATCAAAACAGAATGCAAATGTACATCTCAGCATGTACTCATTCACAGGTGAACAACATGACCAGAAAAGCCAGTAAATAATCTGATGCTGGTAATGTGATCAATATCAAAATGATATCTCAGTGACACCAATTGTCTGGATGGTGAATATCTCTATTATTCCAATTGGCCAGTAGCCAAAGAAAATGAGAGAGAGGAAGGTGGCCGAACACGATGAGGCTGTGGGTAAAATGAATTGCCTCAGAATCATACTACATATGATAATAGAAAATGTAACCCACGTGCCAGAAACATTACAACATATCGTAATCCCTTTGTTTAGACTTAATCTGCTTTATAAACCTGAAAAGTGGAAAGCCCTGTGAGTTTACAGAAAAGTGATGCCGTCAAGATATAAAAAAATGCTGGCTTTCCCCATGTGATTTTCATGAATCACATGGGGAACAATACCGTAAATTAATACAAATAGAGTAGGGGATTATTTTCTCAAAATAAATAATTCAGAAGAATACATTTTCAATACTGTAGTTGTACTAATTTGAATTAGCCACTGTGGCATTTTATATGCTAGAAAAAATACACATAAAATGCCCTGTATGAATATACTAAGATTATTATAGGGTTGCTTCTATAGAGTAAAATGAATCTCTAGAGGGTGTGAGAGAGAGAGAGAGAGAAGAGAGAGAGAGAGAGAGAGAGAGAGAGGTCCCACTCCCAGTCCCATCTAATCGGATTACGCGACTAGGTTTACAGGCTGCTGTCTCTCTACATGGGACGCTCGTGTACGCAGCACTTTAACTTTCTGCTGTAGCTTTACTCACTGCTAAAGCCTGAATCTCATTTCCCTGCGAGTGCTACCGGACCGGAGAACTACAACTGAACATGGTTTCGTTTTAGGGGCGCGGGAAGAAAGAGTATACTTGTGACGTTCACGGCTCAGATGGACATCAGGCTGTCAACTTTCTGTATATGACTGATGGGTAACTACACGCGGCATGCTCACCTAGTAGGCCGGTATTCAGGTGAAGGAGTTTGTGAAATTTAGCCCCCCGTAAATTACTTTTTAAGGTAGATCATTTGGTTACCCTCTTGTCTGGAGAAACAGGCTGTCCCATGTGCGCGCCTCGCGCCCCACGCTGCACTCTGCCCCGAGGACAGTGCCCTAGGCTCGGGAGTTAGATGGTACTGATCACGGACGACAGGGATGGAGGAGGCTCTTCGTCGGTACGGCTCAAGCACCTTCAGCGGCAGCAGAAGGTCGGGGGAAACATCACCCAGGTTCACCCGACCATAGTGGAGGAGCCGCTGTCACACTGTGATGACGAGGACTACCTGGGCTCGTGCGAGGAGGACGATGAAGAGGACGATGGAGCGGAGGAAAACGATGAAGATGAGTTCGAAGAAGTTGACTTTGAGAACTTGGAAGACTGTCGGAGTATCGCGTCGGACGACTCCTTCTACCCGCCGGATGATGTGTTCGCGGACTCGGAAAGCACCCCCTCCCCGGAAAGCCCGGAGCCGCTGTCTTTCTTCCAGGCGTGCTGCACCAACAACGCTGCTATCGTCCGGATCATGATAAGGCACGGGGTGAAGGAGGAGGTCAATGAGAAGGACAGGAATAACAGGGTATGGAGCACCGAGGCTGAAGGAGAGACACAGAGTTATTTCACACAGCAGCTAAATCAGAATAGACCTACACTTTGACATCAAACTAGCACATGGAAACTTAACTTGAAACAGACTAATAATAATAATAATAATTTGAGTAGTACTACTACCACACAGCAATAATAATCATCATCAAACTTAATATGTAAAGCATTTTTTTCAAAACAACTTTTACATGTAAAACACAAAGAGAGCAACAACACAAATGTATGGAGGAAACATACCCCTTAGACACCAATAAACACATTTGCAATTGTGATCTTAGTGACCAAGTGTTTTCCACATTAATATAGAAAATGACCTTAAGTCATGAGCCTGGCCTAATGTGCGGGACAATACTTTCTTAAAGTTTTACATCCAGTAGCCACATTTTTTTGTTTTGGATGTTTTAAATGTACTTGCTCAGGGTTACTAACTAGCTGATTAAGTGTAGTTCTATTATTGTAGTACCTAACTGAAACACATAGATGGACGGCCTTGGTTATCCTCCTTTCCCTCTGTGCAACAAGTTAAGAGCCCCAGATTCAGGAGCCTAGGTATTCAGATAATGAAGCCTGAGCTCGGCTGAGTGGCTTACTGTTCAAGGCCCATGCTGTCCTGCCAGTCTAAAAATAGCTATTACACCAGTATCCCAATGAGGCTGCAACATACTTATCATAATCAATTAAAAATCAATCAAATATAAAATTGAATATTCATTTGATATTTATTGAAGAGGTGATGTGTGCTTGAGAAGGCCACGTTTTAAATCTTCTATATATGTTCTTTATTCCCTTGGTTCAGTTTATTTCTATAATAAGCTCACACCTTTATACTTTATAATTTTTCATACCAAGCTGGTACTTTCTGACAGGTATGTGTGTGTGTGTTTGTTGACAGACCTCAGTTTTGCAAGAGCGAGCAGCCTCAAACTCTACAAAAACAGTGAAGTCTCTCACCGTTAACAGAACACAGTCTCCAGTGTGTGTGTGTGTGTGTGTGTGTGTGTGTGTGTGTGTGTGTGTGTGTGTGTGTGTGTGTGTGTGTGTGTGTGTGTGTGTGTGTGTGTGTGTGGCCATGCAGGTCAATTCAAGTGAGGGTGTGTGTGTGCTTTTTATTCTGGATTTGGATTCAATGTGTGGGAGTGTGGGTAAACACATTATCGACCAATGAAATGATGGCATTAGTGCGTCTAAGAGCAATTTGAACAGTCTTGCTAATGACCCAAAGCAATAAATTCCACAATAGGGAAGCAACAGCTCTGTTGGTGGAAATATTCTATCGACTTGTATCAAAGACTTACATGAATTGCAACGTAAAATCAATCATGTCCAACTTCAGTCCGTTGAATTTAAATTACACACACAAATTAATATTTATTACTAAAGGTAATTAATCAAAACAAAACGAATATTGAACATCTTATCTGCAGTGCATCATAGTACTGTATGTATCCCTCAAGCCTTGTGTAACGCTTCAGTCCTGCTAAAGAACTGCGGGCCAGGGCAAAGAGATAAATCCATAATGATGGAACGCCAAACTAGTTTTCTTTGATCTGGACATTTCCCTAAAAGTAATTGCATTAGCTAGCAACGGGCACAATGCCGAAGAAGAATCACATGCCTTAAATCTAGCTTTGATGTGACTCCATGTATTTTCCTCCATGTTTTGCTGAAACAAGTTGACAAAGCCCTTTTTCTCATTACCAGGACATCTTTTACCCTCACATATGGAAGATTACGGTAGTTTTTTTTAACATTGGCAACTAAAAAACTCCAGTAGAGAAGTTTGGAGTGAAACGTAGTTGCTGGGGGAGAAAGTGTGTTTTATTCATTTACCTTCTCCATCCAGCTGGTCAGGACCTTACATAACAAATCTGTCTTTAACCTTAAAGCTACCTCCATCTCTCCTCATCTCTTCTACTATTTCCCCATCATTTATCCCTGCCTGTCCCTCCTCATTTTTCTGTATGTAATTACTGATGAAGTCATGGAAAGGAAGAGTAGAAATGACATCATTGGAATGTAATATTTCTCTTCTGACATGCAAGATGGAGGGGGTTAATTAAGTGGGCATCCTAAAACACATGCCTGGACCCAGTTGGCTTGTGTGTGTTTGTGTAATATGTGTGTGTCAGCAGTGAAAGACAGTCATGTGTTTGCATAGATAACCAGGATGTGTGCTAGTGCATTCACCGTTTGCTTTGCCATGCCCTCTGACCTCAGGGTACTGTAGACAGAATACAGGTTAGGAAACCCCTCCAGTGGAAACACATGTTGATATGAATCTGTTAAGCTCATTAGCTCATGTGTGTGTGCTCAACATCCTGACACAGATGTCAACATCCCAATATAGCAGACAGCCTGACTATGTGATTTGCAAAACAAAGACGGGTGTTACATCCCTAGGCTTGGGCTTACCGAATGCAGCGTACGTCATTTCCCCTTCAGCTCATCAGCAGTGTCCAGCGTGATATATTGGGCCAAGTCAAAAGGCCCTGAAGACGCAGAAAAAATCTGTGGTCAGGATCAGCATCAGAATGGTAGGGAGTCTGTGTTTTGCCTAATTGCCATTTATCAAGGTTAATTAATGCTGGCCAACACAGGATATTAACCCTTGATGTAAATACTAGTCAGGTAGATTTTCACCTTCTGCTGCAACATAAAACAAGTTTATTTTAGACATGTGGCTGATATAAGAATGAAGAATGTGTTTGGATATATTATGGCAAGCAGGAACAATAGATTTTTGCACTAAAGTGTCCACATGGGTGTGTTTGTCTCTATAGCCGATGCCTAATAACATCACACGTTTACCACTTTAAACTTTTATTGGAATACATTCTTGGTTACTCAATCAAGCCTTTAAAAAAAAATACATTCATCCTTTCCTTTGGCAAGCTAACATGTTAAAACTTGTTATCAGGCTCACAACATCAGATGCCAGGCATAAACAGACAGTCCCTTTACTGTGAAGATAGAGAAAAATTGACAAACAACACAGCCACATTTAGCAATAAAGTTAATGAGAAGCCATGAAGTCGGTCTTAAGTACTTTTATTTAATTTTCCTTGTATATGATTACGGCACAGTAATTATGCTGTTGGCTTCTGGTTCTCCACAGTATGTTCTCAGTGTTGTGACTGTCGTAGAGGATGTAGGATTACATTACATGTTACATGTTAGACGCTTTTATCGAAAGCGACGTACATACTCAATACTGTGGACAATCCCCACAGGAGACATTTTGGGGTGGAGTGTCTTGCCCAGGGACACAACGACATGCTGACTGCAGTGGGGTTTGAAACTGTCCTCCCCTGATCCGAACACCAACGCACTACCCACTGCGCCACACAAATCCCCGATCTATTGGAACTGTGTTGTAAAAATTAAAACATTGAAGAAAG